ATATCATATTAAAATAATTCATTTAAAAATTGTATAATTCAATTATTCAATATTAATGATTTATATACATTATAATAATATGCATTAATATAATTTTACAATGTTAACTTTAATTTACAATTGTCAACTTTGTAACATATTTATAAAAAATAATAATAGTTTACAACATAATTTCTATAATACTATTACAAGTTGTTATTATATTAGATATAGTATTATTATTATTATATAATAATTTAATTTTTATTGAATAATAGATATTAAATTTAAAATATTTAACAACAAAATAATATTACAATATAATTTACATATTTAATACTTATGGTTGGACATTAACTATTAGTTAGTAAATTAAGCATTTAACTAAATTTTATTAATATTTTATAATATATCTAATACAATTAATTCAAAAATTATAAAAAAATATGTATTAATATTTCTAGTATAATAAAAATTATAGGTTCAGTTTTGTGAACAATATTGAGTTAGTGTAATGTAATGTACATGTAGTACAATAGTGTTATTTATTAGTATTAAAAAATACTAATAAATRTAATTATGAATTCAAAAATTGTATTATAWTATTTRAAGAAAAACCAAATTAAAATTTTATTTAAAAATAAATACAACTTATAAAAAGAGCTTAATATAATTAAATACAAAATAATTTTATTTATTTAGTAAAATAAATTATAAATTCTAATTTATTTAAAATATAAAAGTATTATTATTATGTATTTTTAAAATTCTAGATATTCATTATATATTTTAAATGAAAAATATTAAAAATTTATAATAAAATTAAAATATATAATTTTAAGTTAATAAAGTATTAACTATACACATTAGCCTATACATTATATTTTTAACTGTTTGTAATGATATAGTTATGTATGTGTGCATTAACAACCAAACAAATATATACTACAGTACTAAACACATACTGTACTATATTAATGACTATTGTTTAGCGATTTATAACATTAGTGCTTACATTGCACTGCACTAAATACAAATACATATTAAACACATACATAACTACTATACTACAACTCGATTTCCAAAATAAACTTTTTCAAAATTTTATTCTTGTCAGGTGCTGACCCTAGTGAACAAATAGTGCCATATATTTCGGTAGCTACAGAAATATATGGCACTAATAGCAATGATATTAGTTAACAAAAAATTCACTAGGGTCAGCACCTGACAAGAATAAAATTTTCAAAAAAGTTTACTTGGAAATCGAGTTGTAGTCTAATAGTTATATATTTATGTGTTTTTAATGAGTGCAGTACAGTATAAGCGCTAATGTTATACATCAATAAACAATAGTTATTAATACAGTGCAGTATGTGTTTAGTATTGTAGTATATATTTGCTTGGTTATCAATGCACACACATAACTATATCATTACAAATAGCTAAAAATATACWGGATATGCTAATGTCTATAATGCATACTTTGAAACACAATGAAATATAATTTATAAAATAAAATAAATATCTGTTTGTATATTAAATAAGTATTTGTTTTTTGATACAAGTGAATGCAATAATGATTTGTTCAAATTATCATAAATTAACTACAATGCCATTTGTTGGTTGAATTTATTTTGATAAACGATTTTAAGTTTATCAAAAAATTTGTTTTTACAAAATAATAAAATCATTTTGATTATCGAAATTTGATTTAATATCCAATTTATTGATAATAGTAGATATCAAATCGTTATTATGATTATTATCATTGAAATTAACTAAGGGATCAAAGTTTGTCTTAAATTTAATACAACACTGTCGTGAACTGGGTTTATAATCAAAATCCATAAGCACAATCAAATAGTTATGATTGTAAACAGAGTTTGATGTCATTAATTTGTTAAACACATTAATTAAATTATTGTGTTTCTCCTCATCAGTTGATGACATGAATTTATTAACAATCATTTTGTATGGACACAAATCACGAAACAAATGCATCAGTTGTGTTGAATATTTTTGGTCATCAGTTGACAAACCAACAGCTGGTGATTCAATGATAATCACTGAATTCAATATATGTGATGAAAACATTTTCAAGAAACTATCAACTGATTGTAAATCTGAGTTCAAAATATCTTCAAATGCAGACAACATTTTCTCTAAATCAGGTAATAGTAGATTATCGATACATTTGTTGATTGATCGCCAATTAGATGATTTAATTAGACGTTTGGCACAATTGTTGGTTAGTTTATAAATTGTTTTTTGAAAGTCATCGTTATTTATATTAACTAAGTTTTCCGACACTTTGTCAATAAGATTATATAATATTTTTGAATAATCATTAATAGCCGTGCKGTCAATTGTTTCATTATGTTTACCATTAATATAATCAAATATATTTTTTTCCAAATCCATTGACTGATGTGATGTCATTGTTTGTAATGAAATATCGATTGTGTTGACATTTGGCGGATCGGTATCCATCAATATATCGTGAGATTCAGGTATACTTGATATGCTTTCATCAATAGATTGGCTATTGTCGGCCACCGATTCCTGAGTGGGCGTTTGAAACATGTTTGTGACCATTAAAACGTCTAAACAAATCATTTAAATTTAGTTAAATCTAATAAACATTAAATAAATAAATAATAAAAAAATACTTACCATTGACGTCATCTCTTTTTGAATACATTTTTAGTTTTATAACTAATGGTATAAATTTATTGACAATAGTTTCACTTGTAAACAATCAAACATTTGTTTAATTGTTTAATAAAAACAATACAAATGCAAACCAAACAATGAAACACATACTGTACTGTATTAATAACTATTGTTTATAGTTATATAACATTAGGGCTTACATTGTATTGCACTCAATACAAACACATATTAAAACATATACATAACTACTAGAGCACAACTCGATTTCAAAAATAAACTTATTTGAAAATTTTATGCTTGTCAGGTGCTGCCACTGGTGAATTTATTGTCAACTAATAGCATTGAAAATAGTGCCATATATTTTGGTAGCTACCGAAATATATGGCACTAATTTTCAATGCACTCAATGCGCACACACATACAAACTATAGCACTAAATAGTGCCATATATTTCGGTAGCTACCAAAATATATGGCACTATTTTCAATGCTATTAGTTGACAATAAATTCACCAGTGGCAGCACCTGACGGAGCATAAAATTTACAAAAAAGTTTTTTTTGCAAATCGACATGGGCGCTTTTATTATAATGATAAAGTAGACAAACAAAAAAAAATTCATACTTTTGATTTCAATATAACATACATTTATTGAGACATTTAATTTATTTGCACTAATAAGTCATATAATTATTTGACACTTTAAACAATTAGCCAAATATGTGTCTAAAGCTTTATACTATAATAAGAATACTTTTATTATTTTTAACAATAATAGTATAAATATACTGTATATGGTTTGTACTGACAATTATCTATTATTAGCTTAAAAGGTTATGTCTATAAAATATGAAAACCATAATTAACTTTTCTAAAATATTTGCTATTATTTAATAATAACAATATTTATCTAACAATAACTTAAAAATATAGAATAGCAATGTATTGTTATTTGTTGTCAAAATAATTTAGATAAAAAAGTGAAATATCTTTAAGAGTAAATAACAAATGTATAATTTTTTTTGATCATTAGATTACAAAATTTTTATAATTAAATGAATGATTGTCATTAGTATAATATACAGTACTATATTATTATAACTTTGAAAAGACCCAAAAATTAAAAATACTAAAAATATTGGGATTAGATTTAGAGGTCACTGTTCAGGTGAGCCCTGATATTGATTTTCTTAATTAATTAGCACACATATACACTACAGTCAATTATATTGAATATCATATTACTGTATATTTTTGCATTTAAACCAATTGTCTGGTTTTGATTTGATTTATAATTGCATAATAAAACATGTGTTAATCATTTATCTAAATATCAATTAAATGTATAGTGATATTCACACAACAATATTAAGATATTTTAGTTATTAAAGTAAAGCCTATAAAAATTAAACCAAATTCTCAGGGCATCTAAATATCAATTTATTTGTGATTTAATTTTATGTTTTATTGAATTACAAATATTTATATAATTTCTAAAATTATACATTTTAAATATTATGCCATTTTATTCTTATATTTTAGTTAAATAATAGATTAAACTTTAATTTTAGTTCAATTTTAGTACATAAACTCTATTTATGATATAATTTAAGTTTAAAGATAGTATAATAAAATTAATATATTTTGAAAACTAGTAAAAAACATGATTTGTATTTATAAAATAATTAACTCAAACAACTTATTAAATTAAATTAAAATCAAATTATTTTATTAAGAAAAACAGGTTAATTATACTATAATTAATCCAAACTAAGTTTAATTTATATRTTTTTATAGTTACGGTAATTGTTATAACTATTATTCAATTGTCAATCACATGAATTTACGTGATTTTTGTGACTCCCAAGACTCCYGATTCACAATTTTATACTTTAATATTATAAATATAAATTTATCATATAATTTAAATCTATTGCTATCAGTGTTGGCAGTGACAAAATGTGTGTAATACAAAGCGTATAATACAATGTATAATACATAACAATTTTGATGTACAAAACAAAAATTAGCGCCACCTAGTATTAAAAATAAAACAAAAATAAACATGTTTTATAGTTGTTAATTTAATAATTATAAAATATTAAATGTGACATAAGTTTTTATAGTTGCTAACCCAACAAATAGTTATTTATAGTTATAATAAAATTTCGGAAATAGCGTCCACTGGTCAACTTCGGTGGACAWACTAAGTCCCAGTTATAAGCGTTGAACCGACAAAATATTTTTTTTAGTTGGAAATCAAGACAATAATTATTAATATGCAAAACCAAAATTCAAAAGTTTGTATTTTTCAACACTGATTGCTATTACTGTAGCTCTCACTACATGTAGTGCACAATACAACACACGATTGGCTGTCAATGCATTGCAATGGATATCAAGTGATAAACACATGTTTTCAATGATTTTATTTTAATAACATATCAAGTGATCAAATGTCATGAATTCAAACAATTTGTTTAAGAAGTTGGTGTCAGGCGTTAGGTTTGACCGCAAAAARTTTGCCAAAGACTTCAACAAATTTTCGGTAATTTATAACAAAATAGGTTTACAACTGGTTTTAAATGATAACAATTGTTTGTTTGATTTTTAGTTGAACCACCAAAACGATGGCAACAATAATATTGATTATATTGACGAAGAATATACAGAAGATAAACAAGAAGAAGAAGAGGTTAACATAATTAGCGATTCGTCAAAGAAAAAACCAAAGAAGGAGAAGACTCGGAAACAATTGATTGAATTAAACATCGAAAGAGTTAATCATTTGCGAAAAGTGAATAAAATCCGTGTCTTTGGTAGTGATGTCAACGATCCGATCGAGTCGTTTGCTGATCTGAATGTCGACAAAAACATAATAAATAATATCCATTCATCTGATTTCGTTAATCTGACACCGATTCAGAAGCAAACAATACCATTAATGTTAGATAAACGTGAAGTCCTGTGTTGCGCACCGACCGGTTCGGGAAAGACATTGGCGTTTCTCATACCAATTATTCATCACTTGGGTTCACCACAAAGGAAAGGATTTAGAGCTGTTATATTAGCGCCGACTCGCGAGTTGGCCAAACAAATACATCGAGAATGTCTTTGGATGTCTCAGGGAACTGGTCTTAGAGTTCATATTATCAAAAATGTTAATTTGGCGAAAAAGAAGTTTGGAACTGACTCTAAGCTCATGTATGATATTTTGGTGACGACACCCAACAGATTGGTTTGGCTTCTTAAACAAGAACCGATTGGTATTAATATACAAAAGTAAATATACTTTTAACTTAATTATTGTAATATATTTTTATTATCATTTTATGTAAATTTATTTTTTCTTAAAGTGTTGAATGGCTTGTTGTCGACGAATGTGACAAACTATTTGAATCGGGTTTTCGAGATCAGCTGTCAGTAATATTTCAAAGTTGTGGTCAGTCATCTAAGATAACTCACGCCATGTTTAGCGCCACACACGACCAGGAGTTGCAGAAGTGGGCCGAACTAAATCTGGACAATTTGGTATCCGTTGTAGTCGGCGGACGTAACAATGCATCGCAAGAAGTGGACCAGAAGTTGACTTTTGTTGGCAATGAATCGGTATTTTACTTGTGTTTAGAAAATTATTGTTTTTTTTGGTGATAATATTTAGATATTTTTATTTAGGGAAAAATATTTGCCTTAAGAGACATCATAGCTCAGGGATGTGAGGCACCGGTATTGATATTTGTAGAGAAAATACATAGAGCTAAGAGATTACACAAACAACTGATATATGAAAATATTAATATCGATGTAATTCACTCGGAAAGAGCTCAACACCACAGGGATCGTATAGTACGGGAGTTCAGAGAGGGAAAGATATGGTTTCTCATATGCACTGAACTTATGGGTCGAGGCATTGATTTTAAAGGCGTTAATTTGGTTATTAATTATGATTTCCCCAGAACTGCAGTTTCTTATATACACAGAATCGGTATTAAAACAGTTTTAAAAATTTACAAACCTATGCACACAATAAACAATTTTTATTTATTTTGTTGTCAAGGACGCACTGGTAGGGCTGGTAGAAAGGGGATAGCCATTACATTTTTTACCGAAAAAGATGCGGACAACTTGCGGTCGATTGCAAATGTGATGCGTCGGTCAGGTTGTGAGGTTCCGAAGTTTATGCTCGAACTTAACAATAGGTAGGTTTTTATTAATATAATTTTATTATACATTATATGAATTTAATAATTTTATAAAATATATATTATATTGTATTTTATTTTAGGAAAACCAGGTTATTTAGAAAACGTAAATTTAATCAAATTAATAGAAATAGAAATAAAGGAAAGAAATTAAAAAATAATTCCAATGATGAGGAAGAAGATAGTGGTGAAAGGGATCAGCAATATGACGATGAAAGTGATTGATTTGATTTATTTATATCTCAAACTAAATTATATCATTTATATTAAAGTTTTATTTTAACTTTGATTGTAATAATTTAAAAAAATTGAATTAATTGATAAGAAACTTATTGTGACCAAACTTAATCATTCCTCTTAGTTGAACAGTTCCAACAAATTGTGCCGATATTTGACTGTCGTTTTGTTTTTTAGCATAAAAATCGTCGAAAACTTCGCGAATAAAATAATTCCAAAAACTCAAGAAATCACTTCTAAATCCTTTTGACATTTGGGTATTCAATGACAAAATTCTTAGATAATTAGGATTTATTGTTGAATATTGAATCCAATTGATACCAAAAACGGGTGTGTATTGACCGAAGCGACCAAATCGGGCAAAGTGTGCAAAAAATTGACACATAGTTCTAATGACAGGTTCGTCATATGTTGAGGTATTGTTATCATTATATAGGGTTGGGAACAGATAGAAGATATCGTCCATATGGGACACACCGTATTGATTGCGGTGAATATTTTGTGAACCTTTGTGTTGTAGTGTACCAAATGTCTTGAGGCCTCTGTGTTCGACTACATAAAGATATGTCTGTTCAGTATTTTTTGAATGAATGTCCAGTAATAAAGTGTTGGCCGAACCATACATGAAATCACCGATAGACTGATATTTGGAAAAATAACAAAAAAATGAAGTTATAGACTAAATATTAATACAGTAATATCGGTAATTATTATTATAATTATCGATAATTGTTTACTTCAATCAGTGTAATGTCTTGTTTTTCTTTTTCAAACAACTCCTGGTTTTTATTTTGCTTCAAATATGGTTTAATTTGTACTCCAATTTGATTAAATCTATTGATATTGTAATACGGATTTGGCGTATAAATGGTATCATTGAATCTCTTAAAATAGTACCACTCAACTGATTTGGTCAAAACTTTTGCATAAAACTCGTTGTATTTGTATTTATTATACAAATAGTAAGCCTTTTCGTCAAAACTCCAGTCTCTGATTTTATCGTAATGAGTGTAAAAGTCTAGTGATCCTTCATTCAGTGTTAATCCGGCCACCATTGGTGTCTTCCAGTAGTTACCGCTGAGGAATAGCCTAATTGGTAAATCGGGTAGAATACTTGTGGACACATTTTTATCGAGAACCGGACCAAAGGTATATTGAAATTCATTGGGATAAAGACCGGGTAATCGTGAGGCAAACATCAGGTCCTCAATAGATTTCGATCGCAAACACTCTACCAATGGCTGAGAAATTCGTTCAATATTTTGATCAATTGATGAATACTTTAAGTCACAGTTTAACACTTGACTGAAATCTATAGATGTTTTAATATCCGGTATTTTAATAGCATTTGGAGTAAATACAGAACCACTTAATATCATGACGTTATGAAAGAGACCCCACGATCTGCTGGCGGTTAACAATATAGAGACAGATATGGCACCGGAATCGTGACCAAAGACAGTCACATTGTATGGATTGCCGTCAAAGGCCTGAATATTATAAGAAATCCATTTGAGTGCCTCTATTTGGTCGTGAATTCCGAAATTTCCCGGACAGAAGTCATCACCGGTACTCATGAAACCTATAATATTGTGGTATAAGTTATAATAAATTTGATTTATTTGATATGAAAAGTAACCTAATACTCCTAATCGATAGTTAATAGTGACCAAAATGACATCGTGGTCAAGAAGATATTGTGGTCCATAGAAATCTTTACCACCAAATTGAAACTCTCCGCCGTGGATGTATACCATTACCGGATAGCCGGACACTGGTCTCTGAATTACAGAGAGATTATATCAAAACATTATAGCATTTATTGTATCAAATTATACAAACAGTTCCCAACGGAACAAAGATATTCAAATATAAACAATCTTCATCTTCACGAATCAGATTATTAAGTGAAAAGTCAAATCTTTGGTAAACTTGTGGACACATCACATAATTATTGGTCACATCTTTTTCTGTTTTCCAAACCTCTGGTTGTTGTGGTAGCTGTTGAGGAAGATTTCGGTCAGAATATTCTTTTTTAGTTTATATCTACAATTAATACCTGAAACCTTAGATCTCCAACAGGAGGTCTGGAATAAGGGATACCTATAAATGAGTTGATTGTCCGCCGATTAAACTTAGAGGTGTATTCATAACGTTTGCCTCTTACGGGACCAGAATTGGTCACAACCAATGTATCGCTTTGTAATTGTGCCGAACATTGATAAATAGAAATTACGAAATAAATCCAACAGAATTTAAGCATTATTTTAAGTTTATTCATTTTTTCAAATATATGAAAACATAAATCTAAAATTATAATTATAATTATCAATCACTTGGTATTTATTTCAGGTTTCGTATCCGAGATACCCATAAATTACTGAAATTATGTAATTCTTAAGTAAACGCTATTAATCTCAACTTAAAATAAGGAAATATTGATTATTTACAAAAAATAAAATATAAAACAACTATACATTAAAACAAATAAAATATAAATACTGAATATATATATATATATATATAATTATTATATAAAATGTCTCTTAATATTAATACATTATAATTATATCGGTATTAAGTATTTTATCTATGATTTTGCGATTATTTTCAATCACTATCAATAGATTCAAAAATGATGAGATTCTGTCCTTTAATGGCTGCGATTATATCACCGGATGTATTGAATTGAGAGATAGATATAACACCTGGATTTCCATCTGAAAGACTAGACTTGATTTGTCCATTTTGAGGATCAATGACATCAACAGCTTGTGGTCTATCATAATAGTGTCCGCTCACCGATGGATTTGAACTGAATGTTCCGATAAGAAACAGTTCGCATAATGGATGCCATTTAGCTTTGAGAAGACAAAATCGTTGTGTCTGTTCGTGACAATGCTTTATACACCTTTCCAATTGCCAATTGGGTCCCCGATAGACACTGATCTCATCAAAATAGTTTGTAATTAAAAGTGTTGATCCGTTGACAAGAGAAAATGTGGCCGAATTTAACGGATGGCTATGTCTTATGTTAAGCAACGGTTTAGAGCAATGACTAGAAAACATTCGGGTGTCCCATAACTTGGCCGTACAGTCAATGGATGCCGTAATAAACAAATCGCTATTAAATTTATTGAATTCTGTGTGCAATATATTGGAGTTGTGGACACCAATACTGAAACAATTGGTTTTACTATTAACCAAACTTTCCGATTCACACGAAGGCATTAAATGTATAGTTCCTCTGCTGTCGCCGGCGACCAATAACTTCCGCTGAGGACATACGTCTATACAGGAGAATCGGGAGCTAATGGATATCACAAACAAATTTTTAAGTATTTCTTTAGCACAAAACCCAGACATACCTCGAATAAAACTCATCCGAAATATACGTGTCTTTAAGGATTATTTCATCTCTACCATCGAGACGTTGTTTGATTATCTTTCCAGATGTCGATGACGTGTAATACCAATTAGTGTCTAACAAATCACACTTAATATCTGTTATTTGTTGTCCTCGACCTCCGCCTCTATGACACAGTTTCACAGTCCGGTTCTTGAGATCAACTAACGAAATATCGCCGCCACGGGAACCGATTAATACTAGATTATAGTCGGGATGCCATTCAAGCGCAGACACCATCTTATTAAAGATATGTTCATAAGTATGAGTGACCGACATATTGGCCAAAAACGAACTGCCAGTCAGTATGTCGGCAACAGTTCGGTGACCAACTGAGCCCTGCCGAAGCCCATGCCATTTGCCAATAATACTTTTAGTCATCATATAATGATAATTGTATTGTTAAGAACCAGTCGGTAACATACGATGACCAGCGATGGTCAGTACGGCGGCTAATGTTATGGTCAATGTTGTCATTATTATTGCATATGTTTTGTCATTATATTTGAAAAAACAATAATAAATACAAATACACTATAAATACAATTAATGTTATTTAATGAGACAACAAATTATTAAAAATTTTATTACATATAATTTAAAGATGACATTAAAAATAGTATTCAAATAGTATTGAATTAATTTGTAATCAATGAAAACATACGATTCTATCGATGCAATTGTGGACAATGTTTCAAATTTCGGTCAAACAAACAGTATTGCCGTTAATTAGGTTAACCTGTAGATTGATATTTGTGTACCTTTTCATATGGAGTCCACAAATACAATATAAAAGCAATCGATAATCACTTGAGTATTGATCTCATGTTTGAATGAATCAAAACTCAGACTCAAGAAGTCGACGAAGAAGTGGTGGTCAACTGATCGATGATAATCAACAACAAAGAGATTACTTATCAGATCTTAAATACACTAAAATTGTCACAAATATAATCGTCACCGAAGACAACGATTTAGACGACAAAGATTTGTGCGGATGTCGAGTGGACTGTCGTTGTTGTGATAATCAATGGCCAGAGGATATCAATCCAGAAGAAGAACATTGGTGTCAATGTAGTCAAAGTAGATGTGATGTTGACTTCAATTACGATACAAATGGTCTTTTGATGAACTTTACGAAACCGATTCACGAGTGCGGAGATAATTGTTTTTGTAATTCCAGCGATCAGTTGAAGATTAAGTGTTGGAATCGTTACACTCAAAGACAAATTATATTCAATACACAACTATTTATTCATCCGATTAAAGGTTACGGTTTAAGGACATTGAGTGACCTAAAAACGGGTCAATTTGTGACTGAATATTGCGGTGAAGTTATCGACCGAATTGAGGCCTACAAGAGATTTGGCGAACAAAATGAAGAAAAACATAATTATATTCTGATATTTAGAGAACACTTCGGCAAAGATATCATATTTGAAGTGATAATTGACGCAAAATATTACGGAAACGACTCGAGATTTATTAACCACAGTTGCGATCCTAATCTAATAGCACTTCCTGTAAGAAGTGATTCATTGCGGCCAAGAATTTGTTTATTTGCTATAAAAGATATCACTTCTGGAACTGAATTATCTTATAATTACGGTTCAAATGATAGTCCATTGAGTACTAAGAAGTGTTTTTGTGGTTTTCAGAAGTGCAGAGGTTTTATGCCTAAAGATAATTATTAATTTTTTTTATTAAACCCATTGAATAATACCGTTAATTGTTTTTATATTAACTTTAAATAATGTCCACAAATATCGCCGATGAGACGGATGAGGAAGTGATTCATACAGTTGAACGCCAGGAAACAACTGACAATCAATCGATTGACAAAAAGAAGCGTATTTTCTCTAAAGAACTCAGATGTATGATGTATGGCTTCGGTGATGATCACAACCCATACACAGAATCGGTTGATATGTTGGAAGATATGGTGATTCAGTTTATCGGTGAAATAGCACTCAGAGCTATGGATATCGGAAGATCCGGTCGGGTTTCAGTTGAAGATGTCATGCATTTGGTACAGAAAGACAATCGAAAATATGCCAGAGTTAAGGATTTGTTAACCATGAATGAAGAGCTGAAAAAAGCAAGAAAAGCTTTCGATGAGGTCAAGTATGTCCAGTCGGCTTAACTCACAATTACCGGTAGTTGTCGTCAACGCACACAACATTCATAGCATCGATTTATACCAATTTATTAGTCAACTTTAATTTATTTTTATTACATTTAATGTATTTTAAAAGCCATTTCAATCATTTAAAATTAATTTAATAAATATTATTTAATTGATAACTTGGAATTTTCAGAAATAATTATATATTTAGACAATAATAATGGCGCAATAGTAATGCATTAATATAATTTTACTGGTTTTAAACATTTAAAAACTAATTAAAATTTACATTAAAATTTTGTTAAGAATACAATAAATTTATTATATTATCGGTAAAATAACAACTACTGTATACTAAAATCAATATATTATTTACAATTGGTTTACTATAGATAGTGATTTAGTTGTGATTATTTGTTTCTAAAATTATTACAAATTAATACATGACAATAATTAATATAATAGTTATAGAGTATATATATTGCTTAACAAAAATATATAAATTATAATTGAAAAAAGTATTAATATTTAATAAAATATAATATTCAAAAATCAAACCCATAGTCCATATAATAACATTCATTATCACCAAATTTCGTTTAAAATCTACTTAAAGTTATAATAAGTTAAATAAATACTTAATTTATTTTATTTAATGATTTTTGAAAACTAATTTATGAGAACTGATCCCAAGATGTGGTGTTAACATTGCTTTTATTAGATGTAGTGGTAATCGACTCAAAATCGCCGAAAAGATCATTATTATTGATGTTTGTATTAGTTGTAGATTCAGTCGTATTAATGGAACCAATACTTAACGCATTTATGTCAAGTAATAAATCATTTTCCTGTTTTGTATTATTTGTCACTGGATTTGCTTTTGCTGTCGATGTGGAAGTAGTAGTATTGGGAGAGCTCTTAGTTGGACCACCTTTAGCTGCTCCTGGAGGTGGAGGTAGTAAAATGCCTCCACTGCCTAATGCAGTTGCGGCTGATTTAACGCGCGGCCGATTTGATGAACTGTTTGAACCACTCTTTTTCTGTAATTAATTTCAATTAGTTATTCTTAAGAACAACAAAACAAGTGGTAAATCACTTACGATATTGAGATTAACTTTAATAGTCTGTCCTTCTTTGAAACCCAAGTCTAGTTTTGGTTGACTATCTTCGGGTTCTTTCTCTATCTTTTCCTCGATTTCAAGAGCTCTTAAATTGACAAATAAATCATAAACAGTGGACACAAAAAACAATAATCAAATCAATTATACTTAAAGTGGTCCTGAAGTGCAACGTTAAGATCAAAGCTGTCGCCGCGATCTGAGAAACCAATTCCGATGAAAGCGTTGCGGCCGTTGTCGTCCTGAAGTCGGATAACAAAATAACGGCTGGAATCAGATACGGCTTCAACGGCCACTCCCGGGTATTTGTCAATCGGACTTTTGCCGAACAATTCGCCACTCATTTTGTCTTCAAGTTTTAAAATGCATTCTTTGCCTTTGGCTACTAATCGCAATCTTCCCGTCCAATCGGGTGCATCCAGTTTCCAATCGGCCGCTCTGGTCATCGGTAAAAAATACTATTAATAAAAATGTCAACAAATTCAATGAGTGGCCAACCGATGGGCTCTGTTTGTTGTTTTCGGCGGAATCTTATATATAAAGACATCACTCTTCACGAGTAGTACTCTCTCGTAGTCTTCCATTCTTCGTTCAAATCGGTGACCAAATGTGTGACCAAATCAGTGGTCAATCAATTGGTTTGCTTTTGAGTCTTAAACTAAACACACAATCAATCTGTTTGTGAATCACTGAAAATCTGCCCCTTTTTTGACACAAATAATGTGTTTCATTGAATACAACAATCAATGACTTTTCCAATGCATTGATAATCACTATATAAGGGATCAGTTATATTGTAATCCCTTTTATGTCACACTTTATGTCACATACTATTGACCAGTGAATCGACTTAAAGGTTAACATTTCTCACAACAATTATGTGTCAATTGATTATCAAATAAATTATTAATAAATGATTTTAAAAATATATTTTTATTATAGAGTATTAAAGTAATTACAGGACATAGTAATAGAAAAATTAAGTTAATATTAATTATAATTGTCATTAAATTTTTATAATTAACCGAAATGTTTAATTATAATATTCCTAAAATATTATAAATAAATATATTGATTACAATAAAATCATAAATTCAATATATATTTTTAAAAAATGGTTTCATTTTATTAAATATCTTTAAAACTTCAACAATTAAATATACAATAAATTCAAACAATGAGCACATTTTTTTGCTATACATTTACAATAAGTTACACAGTATTTGAAAACGATTACAATATATGGTAACTAAATTTGTTGGAAGATAGCTAAACAATTAAATGAAACAAAATGTAAAAAATTACTAAACAATTGGAGAAATTCATAATATTTTACAAAATATAATAATTAGTTTTTAATTTGTTAAAAATGTCATCAAATATTAACAAATACGCAAAGCATTCAAATATTTGTAACTAAAATACAACGACAATTAGTTAATAAAATAAAAATTTATATCCAAATATACTGTATATATAATATATACGGTATATTACAATAATGTATATATATATATATWTATATATATTTATTTTTTCTAAGTTTATCACATAAAATGGATTCAATGGATAATCAATCGCTGGTTTCACTGATACTCAAGAGAACCCACCGAACGGTGTACATGAAGGCCACAAAACCGACGATCACTACAACATTGGTCATCGCATTACTGAAGAAACCGTTTTCTTGATTGGCTCTGAATCCCGATCGCAACGAATTACCCAATTCGGTGACTCTTCCGCTCACACTATTCATCGCTTCTTTTGATTGTCTCAAACGAAGAGTTTCTTTCATTTCCTATTATAAATCAAAACAATTTTATCAAAAAAGACAATCAATTAATTAGTTTAAATAAATTTTGTAATCACAACACAAACCTCAACTAAATCGGCGAAAAGTTCAACAAAAACCTTATTTTTAAGATTGAATTCAAGACTTTGTTGCGCTAATAATTTCTTCTCGTAATCAGATGTCTCAATGGATCCCATCGTAGGGTTCTTTTCGACCATAAATGACAACAAACCGGTCAAAATAGTGGACACACTCCACGCCGGGTTCCACGAATCGGGATGAAAGTCACTGATCGATAGACACAGTCTAACGCCGCACTTAAAGCGACCGTTTGGTGTCAACATGTAAATGGCCGGAGGTTTGAACGGAAACTCCGACGGGAATTGTAGTTTTCCGTGATATACTCCGCCGTGATATGGCGTTCCTTCGGGACCGCGAACCACGTAATGCCTATAATTATGGACAATAGTAGTCATAATCTATGATATAATATATGATCACTATATTGGATATATATATCTCATACCACTCGAGGATATTGTTATGGAGTGGATGTGCGGACACATAGGGAACGGCGTCTTTAAGGATACGCATGTAATCCTGTTTTAGCCGTTGTGTAGCTGTCGTACCCTTCAGTGTCCGCCTTTGGGTCGCTATATGACCACTCATCGCACCGTACCTTATGATTAACTGCCAGTCCTATAGATTTACACAACTGTCCCAATAATAACAACTGTTATAACAATGATTTGATGACTTCAATGGTATTCAATAAATTCAATTACTTTTAATAATTAAGTCCCAAATCATTGACTTTATTGTTATAACAATTTTATGACACAATTGAGTCACAAGTATTGGACAGACATTACATAACATATGATATGAACATTGATTTGAGTCAACTGTAGGGCCGATAGAGTGCGATATTAGTGCCAATTGTATTGACTATTGACTAATCATTATATCATTAAATTTAATATTAATAATCATATAATTCACTAATATTTTAATTGATTTTATCAAAAATAACTGTATATTATTTTAGTACAGGTATTGTACTGTATATTAAAATATTAATAATTTAATTTATGTAAAATATATAATTTATATTTCATTAATTTTATTAAAATATAAAAAATATTATTAATGATACTTAAATTGTTATTATAATAGTTTTATATATATATATATAAATGATTTTTTAATGTACTAACAATTTGGATTTTTATAGTTATATTTATACTGTAATTAACAAAATTTATAATTGTTTTATTCACATTGATTTGACAATTAAATAAATATACTTTTTATAAGTTAATCAAATTTTTAAAAAATTAGTTAATATATGATATAAAAACTATAAATTATATATATATATAATGTATAATAAACCGGATAAATGTAGTGAACAGGTATTCAAAGACCGGAATAAATGAAACAAATTATTAGAAAATTGGATATATCTTTACAATCAATATATAAAAATAAGATAATATTTTCTTAATTTTTGTCTAATTCTTCGAGTTTTCTCATCTTTTTATGCAATTTTTTAATGCATTTGATCTCAGCATCACTTCTTAAATATTTGTCTATTTCGGTGTCAGATATATCCGGTTCTTCATTTTCTTCCTCTTCCTCTCTGACAAAGACTTGGTTAGAGTCACTATTCTTGAGTCCAGATCTGTGGTAATAGACTTTTCTTTTAAAGTTATTCATCCATTGCTTGTCGTTATCGTCACTGTAATTGTCTTCCTGTGGTATCGTCTCTGTTGTTATTGACTTTGGCTGTTGTTGTTGTCTATCGTTTAACTTGTTATAGATCTCAGCTCTCAAATCAAAAATAAGTGAATTAGAGTATTGGATAATATCATCGACAAAGAGGGCGACATTGTTTCGATGAACTCTTGTAGACTTCAACTTAACCATTGGTATGTTTTTCGCCAGTTTGATAAATATGTCGTTTTGTTCCTTCACTCTGTCCACTATAGTCACTGAAGATCTGATCATAAATTTCTTACAAAAGTGTGCGAACTTGAAGTTCATTCTTTCCAATGGTTTTAATGACTTCCAACCCAAATATGTGGCGGCAGTGATGACATAAAGTGGTGATCTTCCCTCAACCAGCCAACAGGCCTTCTCTATGCTCACAATATCCATAACGCGTTTAATTAGTGCTTTGTCTTCATGAGAGTCGATATCATTTTCAACGATCTTTATTATACCCATCTCTTTGAGTACCGACGGCACTAACTCTTCAATTGGTTTTGTAATTGGTTTGCATTCTGGAAAAACTTCGACAAAAACTTTGTATATTTTATTGAAATCAAATACATTGCAAGGGATGGGTAGTCCAGAGCACATGTAGTGTATGGCAATTGGATGATCGTTAATCATGAGTGTGACATAAGCACAAACTGCAGCTAATATTTGTTTTGTCCGAAGAGAACATCTCAAGAAGTTCTTATGATTCCAAGCTTTCGAGTAATATCTCTTCAGATATTCTTTCATATCATTAGTGAAGTAGTAGTGATCGGCCAATGTTTCGGCAATTTTCATGCCGTGTTGTCGGGCGTGTGTCAGACCATTGTTTTGCATTACATGTGCGTACAGTTCATAGCGTACGCTGGCGTTCATCGATTGATTGGCAAACCGATGACTATCGTTGGCAAATGTCGGCTGATTGTGATCTGCGGCCAACTCTAGACCCGAATCATCAGCTCTTCCACAACCCGTGCAAACAATATGACCGGATTCGTTGTCCAACTCTGACCCACAGTTACCACATCCACCATATCTTAACAAACTTTCAGACATTTCTTATATATAATTATTATAAAGTTTATAATCATTTAATAATTCAATAATTAATATAATATTAATTCAAATTCAAATGTTAGTCGTTATAAAAAGTTAAACACATGTCAAATGACAAACACATTAACAATAGACAAAAGTTTCACATTTTTTTAGTCATTTTTGATTTAATAAGATTTTATAAATGTATAATAAGTACTAAACTTAATATTCAAATATATTTTAATCCCTAATCTAAACATAAATGCAATTTTTATATTAATATAAAGGTTACTAAACTTGACATTTATTAGTAAATTAAAGTCTAAATAACAAACAGATTATAATGAATTAGTAATCAATTCTAATAGTAGTTGTAGTACTGTATGAATATTTATAATTTATAAAATTAAATGATTTATTGAATATAATATTTTTAATTAATTGTAATTTATTTTTAATAAATAGTTTAKTAACAAATATTTCTTTGTCTTCTATAATAATAATCATTTAAAATATATATAAATTATTTGTTTTAAAATTGAAAGCACTCTAATTGATTGTCCGACTTATAGTATAGTTGTCTATAAAGCAAAAGCACTAAACAATTAATAACTTTGAAATATTATACATTTATTTAAATATAATTAATTATTATTACCAGGGTTGGAAAAATACCAAATTTTGACTTTGTTAAATATAGTATAATACAATGTACTGCATATATTATACCATTTTTAAAACTAATATATAATAGGTTTTAAAATATTAAGTAAAAATATAATTTCTAGAATTCCTATTATTATAATAATCATTATTTCTAAATAATAATAATAATGAAATAATTTAAAATAAAAAATAATAGTAAATTTATATTTGTTTTAAAACATAGTTTACTTTTCTCATATCAATGCTTCTAACACTAGGTGGCAGTAATTTTTTTGTAAGTTAAATTAGCCATATATTATAAATTATATTATACTGTATAATACGCTTTGTATTATACAAACATTTTGTCTCTGCCAACACTGATTATTACACTACATGTACATGACATGTATGTATCCATTTATAGTAAAATATTTTGCAAAACAGTTAGTTGTAGTTTATTTGTAAAATAATTTTCAAAATATTTTCATTATTTTATTAATAGTAGATTTAATATTGTATTTAAAATTTAATATATAATTTTTCATTTCTTGTATTCAATTTAATTAAATTAGATAATTATAACTATTTTTTGTAATATTGGTTTGGTTTTTGTGTCTGTAATATGTTTGATACAAATAGAAAAATGTTTGCAATATTTCTATTAAATTTTTTTGAGAAATGATTTTGTTTTTTATTATAAAACAAATATGACATAAATTTTTATGTCACACATTTAAAGTAGGGCTCTCTATGTTTAGCTCAATCACTATAACGGTTGTGATTGCAATCGTTTAGATTTTTGTTGTGATAAATGATTGTCCGTTAAACTTGTTTGTAATAAAAGATTCAATTTTTAGAAAAAAGTTTTAAAGTTACAAAATACATACTAAAAAAATTGAGATATTTTTTATTTATTTGTTATTAAGTTTAAAGTTAAATATTCTGTATTCAAACCAATATTGTTATAAAAGAATATTTCTGGAATTTTCTTATACTAACAGATAAGAAATCTGTACTATATTTTAGTAAAAATATTATGATTTCATAAAATATTTATTATATAAAGTTATCTTATAATTCATAACAATAAGTATAAATTAAGTTACTAAATATTTGTTGCATATGCGTAAATTATCAATTATGATTAGTTTAAACAAATAATATTTGTTTTTAAGCTGTGTAATTATAAAGTTATAATGGGTTAAAAATAAATTGAAGTGAGCATATAATAATTTATTATTAAATTTATAACATTTAATATCTAAATTGTTTATTAATTAATTAAATTGTTATTTATGTGAATATAAAAATATTATATTTATGTTTAGTTTATTTTGTCTCTTATAACAAAAATGAGATATAAAATAAAAATTTTCCAGAAATTTTGCGAAAGTAAAAAACATTACCAACACTAATTGAAAATTCTTAACGTTTCAAATAAATTGAAGTTTTATATAATATATGTATAGAATATTCTATATTAAGTTCAGATTTAAAGCAATAAATTCTTATAACAAAATATTTTTATGGCATTTAATATACAAGATATACTTATATATATATATAATATATATAAATTTTACAATATATAAGGAAAAATTTAGATAAATAAAACAGTATTTTATTCAATATTTTATACTTTAAAAAACGATTTTTACATCCATATGAGTCCATTGCATTTGATTCAATTATAAATAAATAACACACAATCATAAAATATAAGTTATTTGTCTTATATTTTTAAAATTAAACATTATTGAGACATTTTATATTTAAACTATAAAAACAATGTAATATAGTAAAGTAAAAAATGGTTTTATTTGTTTAAGTAAATCGTCTCTATTTATATCAATATATTGTTTTATTGTTTAAATCTACTTATTTTTGTTTAATATAAAATAAGAAATATGAGAGTCTTTCATATTTACTAAAATATCATTTGATTTTCAATAATTGGTTTTTATAGTAAAAGATAGTATGAATTGAATTTATGGACAAATACTTGGTTTGACAATAAATATTATTATTATTGTTAGTATTATTTATGTTTTTGATAAAATATATGACCGTTTGGGATACCAATTGGTAAATGTTTAGCCAAAATTACATTCAGTCAACCAATAAATCTATTTATTTAAACAATAATATATTTGAGTCATCATTTAGATTACAATAAATCCTATAATAACTTAAATGACAATCAATGTGTTTAACGCTTTTATACTTAACATTATATAATAGGTCCCAAACCACTTATAAGTTATAACTGACCGAAAATTACACAATTATATCGATTTATTGTTAAATATAACTGCATTTTCATATAAAACCACAGTATTTTATAATACATGTGTAAAAATAATATATTTAATATCTAAATACTTGAAATAAAAAAATCTTTATAATATATTATAAGTTATCTCTAATTATTATAATAGTAATATAATTTTAGTTATATAGCAAATACTATACATTCGATGTGTAAGTATTATAACTTAAAATACTAATAAAATCATAAATAAATGTTAGTATAATTAATTATATATTAATTATTAAATTATTATACATAATTAAAATTTGATTTCATAATAAACAATTAAAATATAAATTACAATCTATTGTATTTGTCATATTAACAATTTAATAATATTGTTTAGAGTTAATTATAAACTTTATTTTAATATCAGACTCCCCACTCATGATCTATTTTGAATATCTGGTAAACAATATTTTAATAACAAAATAATAGAAAATTATATATACTGTATAATTTTGTTTTTGATTATTTATTATTTAATTGTAAGGTTAACCAAATGATTGCATATAACTTCTTTTAAGAGACAATTTCAGTGCAAATATCTGTTCAATCATATAAGTTAATAAAAATTGATTAATTAAAAATAAATTCATTATAAAATTGTTTTTAACTTTTATCATTTTTATATGCAAAATATGGTTTACTATATATTCAAAGTAAATCATGAGTCGGGAGTCTGTTATTAAGATATTGCCAATTATATTATAATAGATCACAAATAATTGTACAAAATTAAATATAAATTATAATATTTACAATATATATTATAGTATAATACCTTTAAAATATTTAATATATTGATTTAATAATTGTAATCATTGGTAAAACTAATATTTATGTGAAAGTCTTACTAATTAATGAATTGCCAATTATTTAAATTTTATAATTTTGAAATATTTGATTCAATATTGTTTGCTATAAATGTATTTGACTGAAACCCTACAAAAAATAAATATAAGTAATATGAGTAAAACAAAAGCAATTGTTTGCTTAAATTTTATTTATTTTCGACATTTATTTTTATTAAACATCTAATATAAAAATGGTCTAAAAGTTTGAGTTTGAGTTTTTGGATAAATTTATCTTAATTTGATGATTGCCTTCAAAGTAAATATTGACTATTTCTATAAAATACGGAAACAAACCGTAATTTGATGCCTGTATAGAGTCTATACACTATTTGATGGTTTTGATAAATAATAACAATATCATAAATACAGTATTTGAAAATTATTTTGACTTTATACTAATATCTTCAACGTTATATGAAATCAATTTGACATAATTCAAACATTTAATTATTAAATATGATCATATATGATGTCATATGTATTTTGAATGATATAAAACTTAAACTAAAATACACATTATTTAAAAGCAGTTTATTTTAATTACAATTTAACATAAATAATAAATTAAGTAATTTTGAACTAATTTTTAAGTTTAAATAATTTCTTCTAAAATCTATTTGTTATACAGAATCGTATATAATATTAATAATTTTTTATATCAATCAGATAATTAATTGTAATATATCTATAATATTTAATATTCTGTATAATACAGTATAATAAAATACAAATTAATAATAAATATATAACACACTGTTTTTTGTAAATAATATAAAACAACATTATTGTTCAAAAATAAATTTAATTTAATAAACAGATATTTTATTTCTGATTATACTATATTTTTAATGACCACTCATTGCTATATCTTATTATATCTTAAGTCCAATAAAAAGATACACCACTTGTGTATAGATTTAAAGGCACCAATAAAAATAAACGACAATATATGATATAAATATAGAGTATACACCGATATATATTTTTACATATAATACTTAAACCATATATAATGTTAAAATCATATAACAAACAGTTATCACATTTTATTGATATTACTTTATTTTTCTTTCTTGGTTTGGTTTGGTTTTATTTTATAATATAAGTAATATATTTAATAAAATATAAAGTAATGTAATATTATGCAGACTAGACTTGAGAAACCTAATCGAATATGCCTTAAAACCTAAACAAATCTTAAT